AAAAACCCTGGTCTAGGCTCTCTGGTGCTGTACCTGTGGACCCCAGGGTGTTGGCCCTGGCATTGGTTTCTGTCCTACTTACTTTGGTCCTGGCCTTGGCGTTGTTGTCAGAAGGGAGAGGCTTGGGACCCCTTGGCTCTCTGCTGCTTCCTCTCTTGTCAGCAGATATAAGGAGGCAACTGCCTTTGAAGAGGTGCCCAGGAACCAACCCAAGCATGATGAGAGTCAGGCAAGGTGTTGCATGAGTATCTCCCCTGGAAGAGCGTCCAGAGCAGAGACCAGCTGCAGCAAGGGGCAGGAAGGAGCACTGGATTTGAAGGGTTCTAGTTCTGCTTGACTCTGCTTCTGACTTGGTCACTTAATCTCTGCGCTTCAGTTTCTTCAGTTCCTCCTCTGGGCACAGGTGCCTGTTCTTGCCTTCCTCACAGGGTTGTTGTGAGGGTCAGGGGAGATGAAGGGTGTGACTGGGTTTTGGAAAACTCAAAGGTCAGGCAGTACCAACCCACCGAGCAGCCTGTGTGTGTGGATACAGGAGTTTCCCAGGTGGCCAGCAAGAGGTGGGAGGATAACTCTGGGCTGAGAGATCAGAATGAGTAGCCTGTGGGGTTACAAACAACCAGGTACTAACGGAAGGAGAAAGAGGGGATGGAGAAGGAGGGGATGGGGGTGGCTGGCAGCACAGTGCTGGGCAGCAGATGGAGCCTTCGTTTGAGGATTCTGTTTTCTTTTGTAGCTCTCACACAGAGGGGGCAGGTGCTGTATAGCTGTCCAGGAGTCCCAAAGTTTTTAGGAATTTAGGAATTTGGAAAAAAAGTTTCTTACTTATAAAACTTTCCTAAGTTCTCCCTTTTTTTTAAAGTTTTTTTTTTTTTTTACTGTTTATTTACTTTTGAGACAGAGACAGAGCGTGAACAGGGGAGGGGCAGAGAGAGAGGGAGACACAGAATCTGAAACAGGCTCCAGGCTCTGAGCTGTCAGCACAGAGCCTGACGCAGGGTTCGAACCCACGAACTGTGAGATCATGACCTGAGCCGAAGTCGGAAGCTTAACTGACTGAGACACCCAGGTGCCCCCTAATATCTCTTAATCCATAATCTTTGGCTATGGTTTTCTTTTCATGCACATGTGTGGGAGAGAACATCTAGTTTGTTCCCACAAATTTCTGTTGTTAGATATTTAATTTTGTTCCAACTAATGTTCATTATAGACCTTTCAGTTATTCCAAATTTGTGCCAATATATAAACATAGAGAAGAAATAGCTACAAAAGAATTAGAAATTTAAAACTAGATTTAAAACACCTTAAAAAGGTGGACAGAAACGCTTAAAGATATCTAAAGGTTGCAAAACCACTTCACAAGGAACTAAAAATATGAATATGTTCAGAACATCAGCTGTGGGTGTAAGTGTTCATCACTTCACAACCATGCTCCTAATCAACCTGCATTGGGCCAAAAACACAGCACTCACTCACTCCAGCATCTCCTTCCCGAGGTTGACCTATAGCACATGTGGCCTGAACCCTTGAACTACACAGGGGTTAGAGGCACCCACCCCTGCACAGTCGAAAATCTGCCAATAACTTTCGGCTCCCCCAAAACTTACTATTAATAACCTACTGTTGACCAGAAGGCTTATGGTAACACAAACAGTCGGTTAATATATATTTTGTTTGTTATATATATTATTTACTGTAATCTTACAATATAGTAAGCTAGAAAAAAGAAAATGTTACTAAGAAAATTGTAAGGACAAGAAAATACATTTACAGTACTGTGCTGTATTTATTAAAGAAAAATATCCATATATAAGTGGACCTGCACAGTTCAAATCCTTGTTAAGGATGTAAGTAGAAATGAGCATGTGTGTGTATAAATTTTTTTAGAGGCAGCAGTGGAGTATAGTGGTTGTACTTTCTGCCCAGAAATTACAAAGAGACCCCTTTTTACCAGCAGTATAACCCTGGGGCTGTTACTCAATTTCTCTTGACTTTGGTTTTTTCATCTGTAAGAGATGGATAATAACGATGGTATGTGAGAGGGACACTGAAGCCAGCCAGAGAAAGAGCTCCCAATGGCTAAAACTGGAACAATTTGAATGACACAATAAATAACGTAAAACTGGATTTTAACCCAAAGTATAAAATAAGTATTCATGAGGTTGTACTGATATAAATAAATGACTAGATGCATTAAGAAACGTTAAAGAAGAGATAAATCTACTGTGAAGAATTCCAAATACTGTTTGTAGATGCTCTTCCCTCAAGGAGGCCAGTGTAACCCCACTCCTGACACTCCAGCTATGCAGGGTGACTTCCTCCCAACTACTGCAGGGGAGGGGAGAACAGAGGAACTTAATAGGAGAAACCTAGCAAACACTCAGCCAGGTGGTCAAGGTCAACATCATTAGTGATAAGTCATCTTGATAATACAAACCTTTGATAGGATGTGATGAGAAGGGCACTTCACCTCTGAGGCCTTCCTCCCCCAAATCCATAAGCCTAGTCTAGTCATGAGGGAAACATCAGACAAACCCCAATCAAGGGGGGTCCTACAAAATACCTGACTGACACTCCTTAAAACTGTCAAGGTCATCAAAAACAAGGAAAGTTGGAGAAACTGTCTCAGCAGAGAGTGGCCTAAGGAGACATGACTAAGTGTAATGTGATATCCTGGATGGGATCCTGGGGCAGAAAAAGGATATTAAGTTAAAACTAGGGGAATCTGAATAAAGTATGTGTGGACTTTAATTAATAATAATGTAAAATATCTATTCGTTGTGACAATTATATTAATGTAAGATGCTAACAATAAGGGAAACTAGTGTGAGCAATATGGGAATTCTACGTACTATCTTTGCAACTTTTCCATAAATCTATTCTAAAATAAAAAGTTTATTTTAAAAAGTGGATAATAGGGGCACCTGGCTGGCTCAGTCAGAAGAGCATGTGACTCTTGAGCTCGGGGTCGTGAGTTCAAGCCCCATGTTGGGTGTAGAGATTACTTAAATAAATAAAACAAAAAAAAATTAAAAGTGGATAATAGTGTTTATGTTATGTTGTTGCTTTCAGTAAGGGAATTTATATCAAGCATTTAGCATACTGGCATATGACAAGTGTTTAAAGTTAGTTATTACTTATCATTATTGTTTCTATTTCTATTTTTCTTATTAAAAATAGCAATACAGGGATGCCTGGGTGGCTCAGTCAATTAATTATTAATTAATTTCAATTAATTAATTTCAGCTCAGGTCATGATCTCATAGTTTGTGAGTTCGAGCCCTGCATTGGGCTCTGCACTGACAGAGCAGAGCCTGCTTGGGATTCTCTCTCTCTCTCTCTCTCTCTCTCTCTCTCTCTCTCCACCCCTTCCCCACTTGTGCGCGCGCTCTCTCTCTCTCTCTCTCTCTCTCTCTCAAAATAAATAAATAAACATATATATATATGTATGTAATAGCAAAACATACTCATAATAGAAAATTTTACATACAAAGAAAAACATAAGCCAAAGAAAATAAGGAAGAATATCCACAATCTTACCCTGTCTGAGACAACTACCAATCACACCTTGCTGTGGGTCCCTTCAGATATGATTAACTGTAAAATTTCGATCACAACATATATACAATTTGGTATACATTGGTATATATTTGGTATATATGGTGGCCATAATTCAGTTAAGTAATTTTTGTTGCTTTGTTACAAGTCTTTGCTCTTACAAGTACTCAAGAACATAAGTAATGGGCTAAATATTAGTTAGGGAGAAAAAAAGAAAACCCTGAAAAATTATAAAAATTGGGCACTAATGCTTAAATATGCACAAAGGGTATTCAATGGTTCATCAAAACAACCCTCATCTGAAAAGCCAATAACTGACTTTTCTACATCTATTTTGTTTCATAATTTTAAAAAAGTATTTTCTAAAAGTAAAGAAAAAAAGAAGATAATCTAGCAAAATGTTGACACTAGTTATCTGTTTTGTTTCCTTTGCATCTGGCTCTTGACTGCCAGATTCTCTACAAGGAGGATATTTTACTCTAAAGCAGCAGGAGTAGAATCCAGAATGATGGCAAGGCTGTCTTCAGCCTCTCAGCTGGGCTCCTGGGTGGCTAAGTGGGTTTGAGACAGAGCCCCTCAGTACAGGCCCTCTGGGTGGGTGAGGCCTCCAGTGGTGTGTAGGGACATGCTGGCAAATTTTAGGCGCTGTCCATAAGAGGGAAGGATGATATAGAAGGTAGCACTACTGCTCTTTCCAGAAACCCAGAGAAACCAGAGTGCCTGCTCTCTTATTCGGTGGCCCCTTCCCATTTACTAGAGCCAGCTCACTTGATCCTCCCACAGTCTGGGAAGCAGGTAGACTCCTCTCCCCTGCACTCGATCTGCTCTTCCTGAGGTCCCCGGTGACCTCTAATTGCCCCCCTCCCCTAATCATTTACACTCTCCTCCTTGACACCTTTGCCAGTATTTTACATTGCTGACCTCTCCCTTGCTCTTTTTCTGCCAGGACTGCACTGTGTCTTAGACAACTCTAACCGGCTCTTCTTGGGCTGCATCGCTGCTTTCCTTTCTCCTTTCCCACACCTTCCAGACTCTTCTCTGGGCTTCCTTCTTTTCTCTTTCTAGGAATTCGCCCTTAGTGGCCTTATCGACTACCAGTATAAGCCCCCCACCATGCACTGATGTGTTCGAAATCTTTAGCCCCTGTATTTCGGCTTTTTTTTAAATGTTTCTTATTTTATTTTTGAGAGGTGAGGAGGGGCAGAGAGAGAGAAGGAGACAGAAGATCCAAAGCGGGCTCTGTGCTGACACCAGATAGCCCAATGCGGGGCTCAAACTCACAAACAGTGAGATCATGACCTGAGCCAAAGTTGGATGTTTAATCGACTGAGCCACCCAGGTGCCCAGATACCCTGTATTTCCAACTTCAGTCTTGTCATGACTGAAAGGAACCTCTGGCTGGCTTAAGCAGAGAGGGGATTTATTAGAAGGATGGATCCACTCACCATCTTGAAGGAAAGGCTGAAGATCCAGGCTTAGAAATGATGGAGGCTGGAGCAGTTCTGGGAGCCAAGCAGTTGGTGCAGGTGAATAACTCCTTCAGGGCATGAAGACTGAAGAATGTAGGATAAGAATGTTACCTACCATGTAGCGTTTGTTGAATCTTAAGTGATCGGTACAGATAAGCAAGTTGAGGCCCCATAACATAATTAAATTCCCTTTCCTTTCATTCTTCCTGTCATTATGCTCAAGATGAGAATTGTGGGAAGACACCATCTAATATGATCTTGGCTGGGGCAGACAGATCCCCTTCACTGACAATCCCACCAAAATCCTCAGTGGAAATGATTCTTTCCCCTAAAACTATACTAGGGTTCTTTTTATTATTTTTTTTAAGGTTTATTCATTTTTGAGAGACAGAGTGTGAGCAGGGCAGGGGCAGAGAGAGAGACACACACAGAATCTGAAGCAGGCTCCAGACTCTGAGCTGTCAGCGCAGAGACCGATTTGGGGCTCGAACCCATGAACCGTGAGATCATGACCTGAGCCGAAGTCAGACGCTTAACCTATGGAGCCACCCAGGCGCCCCTATACTGGGGTTCTGCACATGAAAAGGGGGAGTGGACTCAGGGGATGCAAAATGACAAATGTTTAACATATTCCTGCCCAGAAACGTCCTTAACTCCTGCCTCTTTCCTGCTCCACTTCTCCTAAATACTATTCTAATAAATTCCCTGCCTGCATAAGTGATCTCCTTGCTGCCACTCTTCACCCCAAAATCTTCCCACCCCACCACTAGTCATCTTCTAAAATACAAATCTGATTAGCCCAGCTCTGTTCCCTCCTAAAAACCTGTTATGGCTTCCCCATTGACCTTAGATAAAGGTGTGGGGGTTTTTTTTGTCTCAATTCAACTTTTATTACCCTCATTATACACAGGTGTGTAGACAAAAGCTTTTTATCAGCTAACTACATGAAAAGATATATATTGTACGTAATTCATGTGATCCAATAAGGGCAAAAGCAGAGGACTAGAGTTTTCCCCTTAAGAAGAAAAAATTCAGATCTATGAAAAGGACAATGCTAGTTTTAAAAAATTGTGTTTACTTACAAGCATTCAGAATGTCAACAAAACAGCTGCAACTTCCCCCCCCCAACTGCAGAATGAACAGAAAAACATTTCACAGAAGCTGCATCAAAAACAACTAAAGATGAAAAAACTACCATCCCCATGGATATCTAATTTGGGGTGTGCACCAACAAGAGCCTGCTTTAAATTCCCATGCCAATTTACAGCCTCCATACTGTACCTACCAAGGTTAGTAGCTACTGAAAAATACCATGGGGATAAGGCTAGCTAAAGATGCGTTCAGTAGTGTGTAAACTCTATTTAAAAAAAACAAACAAAAAGGAACAGCTGTAAATTTTTTTCTTTAAAAATAGTGAGTTCTGGGGGGTTAAATGCTTTATGGACATGGGAAAAAACTGCCCTAGAACCAACTTTTTCATCATCACCATCTCCTTACCTAACTTCTTTTTCTTATTTTTGGCCAGGATCACTCCCGTTTTTGCCTCATCAGCTTTCCTGTAGCTCAGTATGCAGCAATATCCTTTTTTCCTATCTTTTCCTTCAGCTTAGCAGCCTTCTTCTCATGAGGCTGCCTGTTATCTGCAGCAGTGCTATTCCACGTCCCTCCCAGGTCCTTTGCAACATCACCAATGGACAAGCCCAGATGTTCTCCTTTGATTTTTGGATGATACTCAGAACAAAACAAGGCCAAAGGCCAATCTTGGATACACTGGGATCCTTGAACTTCCCTGTTATTTCCCCTGTAGGGGGGGATGGATACAGGTTTTCATGTCTCATACTGAGCCTTGTTGGTCTTTACCTTGTCTTCAAATTTTCCTTTCTCTTTAGAAGACAAGTCTTCCACCTTTCTGAGCACTATTTAGAAAACTTTGAAAAGTTGACTGAAACATCTTTGCACTTTGTCTTGTGCTCCTCCTGGCAAGTTTGCAGAAAGAATGCATATGATGATGTTCTGCCTCTCAGAATCCCTCTTAGGATCTCCTTTGCTCCTGTTTCCCTATTTTTCCTCAGTGAGGCTCAGGTCACCCAGTGCCTGTCTGACTCTCAAGTGCCCTGGCTATTTCAGTGGAGCTCAATGTACTACACTGGCTGTCTAGGTAAAGTTATTAACATGACTTACAAGGCCCTTCTAAACTTTTACCTTCCCACGAAACTTCATTTTCTGTCGCTGCAGCTCTGCTGTTCCTCAAACATGTTCTCTGTGCCTTTGTACAGGTTATTCCCTTTTCCTGAAATACCCTTTTCACATTCTCTGTCTCTCAGGATCCCATACGTATTCATCTTTCAAAGATGGGCTCAGATGTTATCTGCTCATGGAACCTTCCTTAACAAGGCAGGATGAGTTGGTAACTCCCTCTTTTGTACTCTCATCATACCCAGTATGGGTTTAGATTACAGCCCTGAGCACGTTTTATTACTGCATTTGTTTACAAGTCTGTCTCCCCCACTAGATTGGGAGCTCCCTTCAAGAAGAGCCTCGGTTTTCCTCTGCTTCATTCTTCTAGTGCTTAGCACTGTGCCTAGAATGTAGGGTTCAGTGAATCTTAAGTGAACTATACAGAAAACTGAAGCCCAAAGAGGTTAAGTCACACACCTAGAAGAAGTAACCAACCTGATGGAGGGATTTGGAGAGAGAGATGTGATACATCAGATGGTGCTTTTTATAGTCTAGGCAGTTGCTAAGGACTGTTTGCCCCCCACCTCCCACCCATATACAGGGTGGTAGTCGCCTATTTATTCCCTTGGGAAATTTCCCTTTGGGAAAATTGGGCTCAAACTCAAATAGTCAGGAGAGATTTAAGTTAAAGAAGAGCAAGGCCTTCTTGTTCCTAGACAAAAAAAGTGAGCTGACTCGGAATGCATGGACTTGACCTCTGGGGGCTTTTAAAAACAAGAGAGACTTTATCAGGAGGACTAATTTCCAAGTCCTGTTAGAAGTAGACAAATGTCCGAGTCTGAAGAGTCAGCCTCTTGAGGAGGCCCACATGGAGCAGAGGAACCAGCCAGAGAACTCCAGTGTCTCCAACCTTGTTCCCATTGAGCTCAAGGATGTTTGGGGGAGGGGAGACAGATGAGGGAGCCCTTGCTAATTAAGCCTCTACCCATGAGCGAATGTGAGGCTAATAAGGCAGCCCCATTCCAGGGCACCTCCACACCAAGCCAGCCGGTCTGCCTGTTTATTGCCCGTATGGAGATCATTAATGCCTCCTGACACTGGGGTCATTCCTGGGGTCAATCCCTGAGCCCGTTCTGCAAAACAAGGGGAAATGAACTTCCCAGCACATGTGGCTCAAGCTTGGCGGGG